ATCTATCTATTTGTCAAGAAAGACCTATAATTTTGGTTCAGATGGTAAAGATGCTTTTAGTAGTATAATACACCCAATATGACAAATGATCTTTCTAACAGATTTATGTCTCCAGTGATCCTCTGGGGTACTTAAATGTAAGTTAAAACTATTTCCCGATGTACAAAGTATTGATTTCACTGTTCTAGCAACGTGCGATACACTTAGTGTGGTATCAGAAAGATACAGCCTTCTATAGCTGTCATGGAGAGGGATTTATAAGCTTATCAATTTAATAAGAGTACTTGTAAAAATTAAAGTCTTATGTCATAAAAGATTAGCTGCAGCTTTGCTAACCATACAGATCAATGTCTCTAAGTATTTCATATAGAGACATTGAAACATTATGTAAGGATTGGAAGCTGCTGACTGCATCAATTGCTTCATCCATTTACCTGCCTGATGCAAATAAAAATATAAAAATCAATGCCAAATTTACTAAAATACAGCAATAGTTTCTCTGTGTCATCTTCAGAACGTATTAAGAGATCAGATTTTCAGGCAATTTTTTGGAAGAAAAAAATAAAAAGTAATGTCAGACACAATACCTTGTGGAATAAACCTTCAATTTCTTAAAATAGAAGATCATATCTGGAGTAACTTCCAGTGTTTGTGTTGCCCATAGTTACCGGCCAGAAACTTGTTTTTGTTTTTCTATTTTGTGACCTAAACAAGTACATTGTAATTAACAGTTGAAATCAGAAGGTTACTATCTAGTTACTATTTTTACCAACACCATCCTAACTTATCCCTACCTGAACAACTGTATAATTAAATTTTTTTTGTAGGTTGATTGGTCTCGTTGAGAAATTAACAAACTGTCATATACTGTACATCTTGGATCTGTGGATGCTGATGAGTAAAAATTCCTGAGAATGGTGAATAATGCAAATAATCGTGAGAGTAGTAATTGTGTAACTGATAAGGTATATAAACTGAAAGAGTTTTAATCTAAATTGTCATTTTGCTTTTTGTTTAAATAACCATTGGTGTGGAGTAAATGTAATATGTTAAACTGATAGTAGCACTATATTGCAAAAAGTATTGGGGCACCCCTCCAAATCATTGTATTCAGGTGTCCCAATCATCACCTCCATGGTCTCACATGGCCATATAAAATCAAGCACCTAATCATGCAGACTGCTTCTACAAACATTTGTGAAAAAATGGGTTTCTATAAGGAGCTCAGTGAATTGAAGCATGGTACAGTGATAGGTTGCCACCTGTGCAATAAGTCCACCCGTGAAATTTCCTGGCTACTAAATATTTCATGGTCAGCTGTTAGTGGTATTATAGCAAAGTGGAAGCAACTGGGAACAACAACAACTCAGCCACGAAGTGATAGGCCACGTAAAATGACAGAGCGGGGTCAGTGCATGCTGAAGCACACAGTGCGCAGAAGTCACCAACTCTCTGCAGAGTCAATAGCTAAAGACCTCCAAACTTCATTTGGTTTTCAGATTAGCACAACAACAGTGTGTAGAGAGTTTCATGGAATGGGTTTCCATTGCCGAGCAGCCTCATCTATGCCTTACATCACCAAGTGCAATGCAAAATGTCAGATGCAGTGGTGTAAAGCATGCCGCCACTAGACTCTAGAGCAGTGGAGATGTGTTCTCTGGAGTGACAAATCATGCTTCTGGCAATCTGATGGACATGTCTGGGTTTGGTGGTGGCCAGGAGAATGGTACTTGGCTGACTGCATTGTTCCAAGTGTAAAGTTTGGTGGGAGTGGGGGGGGGGGGGGGGGGGTTATGGTGTGGGGTTGGTTTTCAGGGGTTGGGCTTGGCCCCTTAGTTTCAGTGAAGGGAACTTTTAAGGCACCAGCATACCAAGACATTTTGGACAATTTCATGCTTTCAACTTTGTGGGAACAGTTTGGGGATGGCCCCTTCCTGTTCCAACATGACTGCGTACCAGTGCACAAAGCAAGGTCCATGAAGACATAGATGAGCGAGTTTGGAGTGGAGGAACTTGACTGGCCTGTATGAGTCCTGACCTCAACCTCAATAGAACACTTGTGGGATGAATTAGAGCGGAGACTGCGAGCCAGGCCTTCTCGTCTGACATCAGTGCCTGACCTCACAAATGTGCTTCTGGAAGAATGGTCAAACATTCCCATAGACACACTCCTAAAGCTTGTGGACAGCCTTCCCAGAAGAGTTGAAGGTGTTACAGCTGCAAAGGATGGTCCAACTCAATAATGATCCCTACGGACTAAGAATGGGAAGCTATTAAAGTTCATGTGTGTGTAAAGCAGGTGTCCCAATACTTTTGGCAATGTAGTGTATATAACTAAGAAGTTGCATATATAAATAATTGAATTTTATATTTGTACTTGGTTTTAATATATATTTTGCATAATAAAATTGTGGTTTTATTGAAACTTGTTTGATTAGAGTTTGGCTTAGAAGACTGATTATAAGTACTAAGACCATATAAGCACTAATATTTCATCACTATAAGGCCATGGATGCAGCTGTTTGTATGCTGTTGAATGCAGCAACATTATGCTGCCAAGTACAGCTGTGTGAATTAGTCCTTAGTCTTCTATACAGCTGTGTTCAAAACTATATGGTGTATGCTTCTGTACGCCCATGCTTACGAGTCCTAAGTCATTAGGGTCTAGATCAGAGTTTCTCATCCAGGGTTCAGTGGAACCCTAGGATTCCCAAGAGGTTGCTAGGGGTTTCTTTTCTTGAGCGATGAACATTTTCAGCCTCTAAGTAACTAGATAATAATTAAGTTATCTGAAAGGCAGGCATGCTTCCCAATGACTACAGGTGAAAGGAAAATTGTTCCCAGTGACCATCATGCTAATGTACCATGGAGCATGCTTAGTTACAATGAAAGCCATAAATGAAAAAGCGCTATAATATGGGCAGACAAAAAACAGACTTTGGGATTTGAACCCTACTTCCAATAGAGCAAACATTAAAGCTTTATTTTAAAGAGTCCAAAAACCTAGTTCAATAACGGACTCATATCATCAAGTCAAGGGGACAATGTCTCTCATAGGAAATACACTTATTAAGATTGAATAGCCAGTCAGACAGGGTTGGAGGGTGCGCAGAAGATTACTTAAGGGCAAATTGTCTTTGGGCCACAAACAAAGCCCGAACAACAGTAATCTGCACCGGTGGTATAAGCACAGAAAAATCAATGTAGCCTAATAACCATACAAGTGGATCGACTAAAAGATTCACATCTAAAAGTCCATTAAGTGCACCCACAACCTCTGACCAATACCTCTGACCAATTGTGGCAATGCCACAATAAATGTATCAAGGACCCCGTGTTACCACATCTAGGGCATGTTGGGTCAGCTCTTAAGCCAATAGTGCACAAAAATTCAGTGGGCCAGTAAACCCTGTGAAGAACAAAAATCTGAGTTAACTTGTGTGACAGAAAGAGTGAGACAAGAGGAAGAGCACAAAGGATCTCCTCCCAAACATTATTAGAAATAGGCCCAATATCCTGCTCCCACTTTACCCTGGAGGGCAAGGGTAATTTATGAAAAATGCTCTCTATGAGAACTAGGCAGGTAGCTGAGATAAGGCCTTTAGTAGGGGTCGCTTGTACCACTCTGTCTAAAACTGGGACTGAAGAAAACCTGGCTGGGGAGGAAGAAATGGAGTTCAGAGAAAAGTCCATTGCCAGCTGCTCAAAGGTTTTTAAAGAACCATATAGTTGTAAAAGGGTTTGGACTCCTCCCCTCTCCCACCTCTGAAAGCCCCACAGGGTGGATAGCTCAGGAAACCTGTCAATACCCCATATAGGGGTATATTTAATAAGGGAAAAAAAAAACCTAATGACATCTTAACAGTATCCCATACCTTGTAGATTAGCACACAAATGGGCATATTAATAACAACCCATCAAAGGCCTACAAAGGTGAGCATCCCCAAAACACCCATGAAATTAAGTGATAAGAAGCACTATATGGAGCCCACTATGTGGAGAGTGCCACATTCTGCAATTGGGTTGCATGAAATTAAATTCACATATTTGGGGCTGCCAATCTCTCATCATCCTTCAGCTATTGTAATAATCCCAGTTTATTGCAAGGGACCCTGTTCCACCAAATTACATTTCTAAATATACTATTACCATGAACTGTAGATATAGTAAATATTAACAGGGGTTCCCTGAGACCTGAAAGTTAAAAGGATGAGAACGGCTGGTCTAGATGAATACATTTACAATGTCTAATATATATATATTTCAGGACAACTAAGATGTAGATCTGAAAAAGAATCCATAAAACAATTAGTCAATGATACCAATCTTTTATTGACTAGTCTGACAAGGACAATAAATACCTGTGGTCCTATTATTATTGGTTCTGTCACTGTATGTCGTGAAACTTTATTAATTATGTCTGAATCAGGAGCATACACAATTAACACAGTAAGCATGTGCATGCTCTTCACAGTTGCTTATGATGTATTAGACTTTTCACCCTAAGTGCCTTATTGTCCTGTAGCCCGTGACCTTACTGATCCTCTGTTACTTCTAATTAATTGCATTTCTTAAACAAACAAAAAAAAAGCCTAATTTAAATCACTGATGAGATAAAGCAATGCATCACTTAAATCCTGGAGAAGTTTAATTTTAAATTAAAATGGAAATGGAAGAAAAAGGCATAGGGCCTAAACAGTGAAATTAGGTACTAACCATAAATAGAAAAAAAAACATGTACAGGTTCCACCTGAATATAGTGAAAAAATACAGAAACACTTATACATAAACAATAATGTGATAATGTATTAAAGTCAAAATGGTGAATTATATAAAGTCCCCAAATGTCACATTCTTGTGACCATGAAAATAAAGTGACCAAATCTTCTTTAAAACTCAACAGTGTTCCACCAACATGTTCAGATAAACCGCACACTCACCAGATTGCATTGACCAACTGAGCAGCTAAACATTAAAGATTAGATCTTATATAAATCAGGTAGGATGTCCACAGGGGCGGACTGACCATTTGGAAACTCGGGCACTGCCCGAGGGCCCGGGGACAGTAGGGGGCCCCATGAGATGCCCCTGGTACCTTTTTCATAGGCTTTTTTGAGTTTGGGCAAGGACACAGGGGCCCCATGATCCCCTATTGCCCAGGGGCCCCATGAGTTGTCAGTCCGCCCCTGGATGTCCACTTCTTTATGCAGAATCACTGAAGCCCATCAATTCATGAAACCACAAAATTGTATCCACTCACATCTTGGAGGTGCCAAAGGGGGCACCAACACAAACAGCTCACTAGGGGGATCCTTTCCCTCACACCACTGTTAGTTACCACGACTGGATGTGATGTTGGAGAAGAACAGGAAGTGACGTATGCAGCTCAAGCCTTAGTGTATTTTGCATGATGAGCGTCCTCAGGAAGCTTGGTTTGGTGCCCCCTTTGGCACTTCCAAGATGTGAGTGCATACAATTTGTTCTTTTTTATTTTTTATTTTCACTCCTTTAGCAAAGTCTACTGCACTATGAGTATTTCTTTTGGGCTTTTGAGATTTGTTTTGACAATAGAGGAGATGTTAATAGTGGTTTCATAAGTGGATGGGTTTCAATAATTCTGCATAAAGAAGTGGACATTCTATCAAGATCTAATATTTAATGTTTGCTATGCTCCTGCGCTTGGGGATGGACAAGCTACAACCACATTAAGAATAAACATGCACACCTTGCTGCCCTCAAATGGACCGGGGGAATCCAAATATACTGAATGGGGAAAGAACAAAAAGAGGGCGCACAGGCCTAGGCATTACCATAAAAAAAATGTTTAATAAAAAATAAAGTAGGTGTTGTACTCACAAACGACAATATAGTGGCCGAAGAACAGCTGGATCAACACCCGCGCTGAGTAACAGTCCACAATAGGGAGTGAGCATCCAAAAGGCTGACAGCATTTCGAGGACTTGCCTCTTCCTCAGAGCCACTTCCTCTGGCTCTGAGGAAGAGGCAAGTCCTCGAAATGCGTCAGCCTTTTGATGTCTAAACTCCCTATTGTGGACTGTTACTCAGGCGGTGTTGATCCAGCTGTTCTTCTATGATGTGCCTTGACTATATTTGTCGTTTGTGAGTACAACACCTACTTTATTTTTTATTAAACATTTTTTATGGTAATGCACTAGGCCTGTGCGCCCTCTTTTTGTTCTTTCCCCATTTAATGTTTGCTGGCTGCTCTGTTGGCCGATGCAATCTGGTGAGCGTACAGATTATCTGAACACGTTGGTGGAACACTGTTGGGTTTTAAAGAAGATTTGGTTACTTTATTTCAATGGTCACAGGAATATGGTGTTTGGGGACTTTTTAAAATTCACTATTTGAATGTTTTAATACATTATCACATTATTTATGTATATGTGCTTCTGTATTTTTTCACTATATTCAGGTGGAATCTGTACCTTTTTTTTGCTGTTTATGGTTAGCACCTACTCACTAAATTTTGATTGTATGCCATGATCAAATGGAGAAAATATGGTGAAACAGCGACATTACCAAGAGCTGGACGTCCCTCCAAAATTGGTGAAAAGACGAGAAGAAAACTGGTCTGGGAGCCTGCCAAGATGCCTACAGCAACATTAAAGGAGCTGCAGTAATATCTGGCAAGTACTGGCTGTGCATTACATGTGACAACAATCTCCTTTATTCTTCATATGTCTGGGCTATGGGGTAGAGTGGAAAGATGGAAGCCTTTTCTTACAAAGAAAAACATCCAAGCCCAGCTAAATTTTGCAAAAAATACATCTGAAGTCTCCCAAAAGGTGGGAAAATGTGTTATGGTCTGATGAAACCAAGGTTGAACTTTTTGGCTATAATTCCAAAAGATATGTTTGGCGCAAAAACAACACTGCTCATCACCAAAAGAACACCATACCACCAATGAAGCATGGCGGTGGCAGCATCATGCTTTGAGATGTTTTTCTTCAGCTGGAACTGGGGCCTTAGTCAATGTAGAGGGAATTATGAACAGTTCCAAATACCTGTCAATATTGGCACAAAACCTTCAGGCTTCTGCTAGAAAGCTGAACATGAAGAGGAACTTCATCTTTCAGCATGATAACAACCCAAAGCATACATCCAAATCAACAAAGGAATGGCTTCACCAGAAGAAGTTTAATGTTTTGGAATGGCCCAGCCAGAGCCCAGACCTGAATCCGATTGAAAATCTGTGGGGTGATCTGAAGAGGGCTGTGCACAGGAGATGCCCTCACAAGCTGACAGATTTTGTGTGTTTTTGCAAGGAAGAGTGGACAAATATTACCAAGTCAAGGTGTGCCATGTTGATAGACTCATACCCAAAAAGACTGAGTGCTGTAATAACATGAAAAGGTGCTTCAACAACATATTAGTTTAAGGGTGTGCACACTTATGCAACCATATTATTTTAGTTTTTTAGTCTTACTTCCCTCCACCTAAGAGATTTCAGTTTGTTGTTCAACTGAGTTGTGCAGTTTATAGGTTACATTAAAGGTGAAAAAAGTTCTAAAATGAGTTATCTTTGTCTCTTTTTTTACATCATAGAAACTTGACATTATAACAGGGGTGTGTAGATATATATATATATATATATATATATATATATATATATATATACAGTATCTCACAGAAGTGAGTGCACCCCTCACATTTGTGCAAATATTTTATGATATCTTTTCATGTGACAACATTGAAGAAATTACACTTTGCTACAATGTAAAGTAGGCCTATGCCATCTTTATGTAGAGCAACAATTCTTTTTTTCAGATCCTTACAGAGTTCATTGCCATGAGGTGCCATGTTGAACTTCCAGTGACCAGCATGAGAGAGTGAGAGCGATAACACCAAATTTAACACACCTGCTCCCCATTCACACTTGAGACCTTGTAACACTAAAGAGTCACATGACATCAGGGAGGGAAAATGGCTAATTGAGCCCAATTTTGACGTTTACACTTAGGGGTGTACTCACTTTTGTTGTTTAGACATTAATGTTTGTGTGTTGAGTTATTTTTGATGGGGCAGCATATTTACACTGTTATACAAGCTGTACACTCACTACTTTACATTGTAGCAAAGTGTCATTTCTTCAGTGTTGTCACATGAAAAGATAGAATAAAATATTTACAAAAATGTGAGGGGTGGGTTCACTTCTGTGAGATACTGTATATATATATCAAACAAAAATGGTAGGATACTACAGCTGTGGCCAAAAGTTTTGAGAACATTAATTTTCACAAAATCTACTGCCTCAGTTTTTATGATGACAATTTGTATATACTCTAGAATGTTATGAAGAGTGATCAGATGAATTGCAATTAATTGCAAAGTCCCTCTTTGCCATGAAAATAAACTTAATCCCAAAATAACATGGCTAATGCATTTCAGCCCTGCCACAAAAGAACCAGCTGACATCATGTCAGTGATTCTCTCATTAACACAGGTATTGATGAGGATAAGGCTGGAGGTCACTCTGTCATGCTGATTGAGTAAGGCTGGCCATACATTATACAATTGTCTTGAGAATTTTGCTTTAGATTTACCAAAAACCATATAATATGAGGTCAAACCTAAATAACACTTTCAATTGTATCCAATTAGGCAGGCCCTTGCACTACATGGTTAAAGGTAAATCTAAAGGAAATTGGGCAGAAATTGGACAGAAAATTGTATAGTGTATGGCCAGCCTTAGAATCACAGACTGGAAGCTTTAAAAGGAGGGTGGTGCTTGAAATCATTGTTCTTCCTCAATTAATCATGATTAACTCCAAGGAAACATGTGCAGTCATCATTTCTTTGCAGAAAAAGGGATTCACAGGCAAGGATATTGCTGCTACTAAGATTGCACCTAAATCCATAATTTATCGGATCATCCAGAACCTCAAGGAGAGAGGTTCAATTGTTGTGAAGAAGGCTTCAGGGCACCCAAGAAAGTCCAGCAAGCACCAGAACCGTCTCCTAAAGTTGATTCAGTTGCGGGATCGTGGTACCATCAGTGCAGAGCTTGCTCAAGAATGTTAGCAGACAGGAGAACAAAACATTGAAAATTTGGGTACATGGCCAGGAAACTCCCTAGACCCTAACTTCATTGAGAACTTGTGGTCAATCCTCAAGAGGTGGGTGAACAAAATTAAAAACCCACAAATTCTGACAAGCGCCAAGCATTGATTATGCAAGAATGGGCTGACATCAGTCAGGATGTGGCCCAGAAGTTGATTGACAGCATGCCAGGGCAAATTTCAGAGGTCTTGAAAAAGAAGGGTCAACACTGCAAATATTGAATCCTTGCATAAACTTAATGTAATTCTCAATAAAAAGCCTTTGACACCTATGAAATGCTTGTAATTATACTTCAGTATACCATAGTAGCATCTGACAAAAAGATCTAAAAAACACAACCAGTAGACTTTGTGAAAATTAATATTTGTCTCATTCTCAAACCTTTTGGCCAGGGCTGTACAACCCCATCACCCTTTTCGGAAAGTAGACTCATCAAGGTGATATCATTTTATGCCACAATGTTTTGGAAGTGAAAAAATGTGCAGGTATTGATGGGTTTACACCATTGTACTTGGTGCGCTAAATAGAGGGCCAGCAGGTCATACACTGGGAGTATATGAAGGAGTTAATGTACAGTCCATTTACAGGCTGCTATGTAAAAAAGTATGCTGGGCTAGGCTGGGCATATGTACAGACAACCCCAGTCCTAGCTCATCTGCATGGTAATGAGAGCAATTAGACACAGTCCAACCTATCCATATTCCCTACTATAGAGAAGGATGGGACTGTCTGCAGCACCACAGATGTAAGATGGTTTGCAAATCAGCAAAAAAAACAGCAGGATCAATAGACGCCAATCACATGTCTATGACCAGCTTAAGGTACAGAAAATTACTTTAGAGAAGCATAAACATTAGATATTCTTTGCTTCAGTTTCCCAGCAAGTCTGTTTAGTTTTTAACACATTCAATTAAAAATGACAAAGATGGCAACAGTGGAAAGCTTCAGCGGTTACATTCTTATTCCTGGCATCTGAACAGTGATGGCGTGACTGAGCGGTGAGCAAGTAAATCTGCCAGCAGTGGGAATGTAATGAGGTCAGGCCCTTTCCGCTAGGAGGAAATTATCTGTAATCTCCAAAACTGTGGAAAGGGGGGATCCATCTTTAATAAGTAAAAGGTTTCATTTTCC